TGCAGCTTTGGTTTTAGTTTACGACTATCATCCAGGATCTCAAACATTGCTAGCGAAATACTTTACACCGACATCCGAATCAAATAATTATCAAGATCCATTCCAGGGTGAAGCCAGACCGTTCAGGTAGGTGTCAATAGATATTCAATGAACATGGATGCACATTTTGGAGTCTATTTTCATTATTATGATTTATTTTCCATTTTCAGCCATAAAAGTAATTTGCAGCGAACACCAAATGGACCATATTTACCTGAAACTGAAATTTGGGCAATTATCATGCAATTGACAGCTGGTTTGCGTGCAATACATCAAGCTGGTTTTGCTTGCAGGTGAATATTCACGACAACATTCTCATTTTGATGAACCTTGACCATGTAATAAATGAATATTAATTTTCCTTTGTCTACCAGGACCATTGATCCAACCAAGATTATTGTCACCGGCAAACGTGTTCGCTTCAGTTTTGTTGGCATTTCAGATATAATTTATTTCGATCCAAATCAAGCCAATCCAGCCGCTGCAATTGCAAACTATCAACAGGTAAAACGGATTTATTCGCAGTAATTTCCAAGTTGCTAATGAAAAACTGGTTTTTCCAATGGAATTGCAGGAAGACTTAACGTCATTAGGTAAATTAGTTTTAGCCTTGGCATGCCGATGCTTACACTCAGTTCAAGAAGATCGAATCCAGTCCAGTGTTTCACTTGTATCGAGGAATTATTCATCCGATTTAAGAAACTTAGTTCTGTAAGTGCAGTGCAAGTGACCGTTTTTTTTTTAACTTTGAATGAAATATTTGCTAAAAACATTTTTTTTTGCTCAGGTACCTGCTAACAACGACGACAACTCGACGTTCAGTAACTGATCTAATGCCTATGATCGGGGCCCGCTTTTACACTCAACTAGACGCTTTACAGTGCCAATGCGATCGGCAAGAAGATGAATTGGCCAAGGAAATGGAAAATGGACGCTTGTACAGACTGCTCGTGAAATTGGGTTGCATCAATGAACGACCAGAGTAAGTAGCGATTTCTTCCTCTCTTCCACTCGATTCATTCACATTTCATGTAATAGAGTATCTAAAGAAAATCATTAACCAAAAATGAACACAGGTTAAACATGGATGTGACATGGTCGGAAACGGGCGATCGATACATGCTTAAACTGTTCAGGGACTATTTATTTCATTCGGTGAATGAGGACGGAACGCCATGGTTGGATCACGCTCACATCATTCAATGCTTGAATAAATTGGACGCAGGCATAGTAGAAAAGGTACATTCCACCCACACACTCTTGAGCCATAAACATTGTTGTCATTCAATTAACCGGATAAAAATCATTTTGATTCAGGTGCAACTGGTATCGAGGGACGAACAATCCATTTTAATTGTAACATATGCCGAATTGAAGCATTGCCTAGAACAGGCATTCTCTGAATTAACAGCAAATGCAGTAGCATTACCATAAAATCACAAAAAAAAAGTAAATGAAAAAAAAATGTTGCATCTTATAACCGTTTTTACAATATGAAAAGTAAAAGAAAATTGAAAAAAAAGAGAAATACTGAAAACAGATCATATTTACATGATAGTTTTTTTTGTCGGTGGTAAGAATCACACACACACACATACTAATTTTTTTCATATACAACGAGTAAAATGGTCATAATGAATGTTTGAATCGCATCAAAAGAAACCCAAGACGCAATTTTTCATTCGAATGACACTTTTTTCTCATCTCTTCATTCGGTTTGTTGTGATAGAAAAAGCATTGACAGCTGTAGAACTTAGGAAGAATACAATCCATTAAAACAGAATCCAATATTTTTGAATGAAATTAAAAAACACAGAGCGAAAACGAATAAAAACAAAAACAAAGCCGCGCGCACAAACCGGAAAAGTACGCATTTGCAGAAGAAAAAAAAAGAAGAAAATTAAATGAATCTGTTCCTTTTGGTTTTGAGGCAAACGCCTGACGCCACGAATGCATGGAACAGATATGATGGGCAAACTGAAGCCGGATGTCAGTTTTTTGGTTGTTGAAACAGAGAAAGAAAAACCATTCATCTCAAACTAATGGAAGAGTAGACATTTATCGTCTTTATTTTTCTAGAGCAGTTTTCATAATTACATTTAAAACCGAAATAATAATTAATTTAACACAAAAAGACGGAGGAAAAGAACACATAAATGCCGAAAGAAATTGCAGTCACAATATTTCCATTGTACACAGACACCGATCAAAACCATCACACCGTTGTTGATCCAACAAACTGCATTTGGTCTCGGTTTGCAGCCAAAGGCAAACGCTTAATGTTTTTATGGGGATATCCATTTTATCGGGAGAAAAATAAGGGATGGAGAAAAAGAAAACATAGGGAGATTTGATTTTTCCATTTATTCTCTTGAATTAATACCATTAACTATTCGATGAATTTTTGTGATTTCAATTTTTTTTTCTTTTGTTCAACAATAACAGAAGAATGTTATGTATTTGAGAAGGGAAAAAAGATGAACCTCGATATATTTTTTTTTTAAATAACTAAAACATCTCTAAGTGTATTTAATCTGTAATTCGATATTGTTTGTATACGTAGCAAAAATCGATCGGACGGTGATTGTCGATCGGTTTTTTTTCTCGTTTCATCGAAACTTCAATGGGATTATAACTTAAATTCCAAAGTCTTTAATTGCAATTTGTCAATTGGTCATGCGAATGGTATTAGTTAAATGGTTAAAAAGTAAACAAAAAAAATGGAAAAAAACGGGAGAAATGGCACATTTTTAAACAATATAAACAACACAATATTTCCCATTGTGTTCGTAGCACAAAAATCGATCACTTTAAAAAAAAAAAAAAAAAAACGACGGATATTCAGAACTACAAGAGTTTTTATTTCGTTTTTGGGGAAAAAGCAACACAAAAATCTAGAGAATTAAACCACAGAAACGATTCCGGTAAATCAGTATTTTAGAACGTACATGATTATTTTTAATTGTGAAAACTACATTTGGTTGGCATTTAATTTTGAAAAGGAAATAAAAATACGACAAAAGCAACAACAACACGAAGACAAAAGAAAATATAGTGAGAACCATGCAAAATATTCAATTTAAATGAAGAGTACAAACAGCGTTAATTCAAGCAGTTACAGAGAGGCAAATGAAATTAAAAATTACGATGAACCTGATGTCAAAACGGGGCAGGACTTGACACTGTTCAGTGTTCATACTGTGAAGAGAAACCCAATAACACACACCACATTGCGTTTGTGATCGTGGCATAGCCGCACTACCCAGTCTAGCATGTGTGCGCGCAAAACAGCAGGGCAGCTCAGAACAAAATCCAGTTCACTTCAATTGGTGTTCGTCCAAGAGATATATGTATATTTTTAAAAATTCTTCTTTACTTCACATTTTTTTGTACTTTTTTTTAATCGCCAAAAACATTTGTTTTTTTTGTAATTTTTTTTTTTTGAACGATTAAGATTTTTACTCGTAATGTAAATATTTGTTTGATATTTTTTCAGTACGTTTGAAAATGGTGCGTTGAATTCTCTCTTTCTTTTTAGTACGCGATTTTTTTATTATTTTACACCACCATTGAATGTGTTTTAGTTCGTGCAGATAACACCTGATGACGTCGGTGAACTATGTAAAAAAAGGAAACACAACAACAAGGAGAAATAATATTGAACCGAGCCAAAATTTTTGTGTTAATTGTATCCATACAGAGATTTCGATAGATATATTCAGTTTAATGAACACAATTTATTTACATACACGTGTGTGTGGAACAAGTGAAAAACGGAATTCTTTTGTAGACCGAATGAAAGAGAAAAAAAAAAACTAACGATTAACCGAAATCGACCATAAAACAAACAGAAATATTGGTTTTTCCACCCCATCATATCTTTCATTTTTTTCATTACCGAATTTATGTCAATTAACGGGATTAAGTGTTACGTTTTTACAAAAATCTGAAATTAATAATCAAATTGTTTCAACCATATTCAATTCAATGAAGACAACAAACGTTGTACATGGCAATAGATTACACAAGCTCAACTAATCCAATCATAAACAGAAAAAAAAAACATTTTATCTGTGAATGAATTCATAAATGAAAGCAACAAACAAACAATACAATCGAAATTTTCAACATAGAAAACAAACGGCGTACACATTTTCCATCTCCAGAACATTCAGCACTATTGCAGTGCCCTAACAGATGCAAATTATTTTACCTATGAAATTAAAAACAAAACAGAGATGCAAAAGTGAACGTATTTACATGAAAGAACATTTAATTTTAAGATTTTAAAAGAAAATTTGAAAAAATTAAGATAAAAAAAACAACAAAAAAATAGAAAAAGAAAACAATAAAAAAAGTTGAAATTTTTTTTAAAATGAATTTAAAAAAAATGAAATGTGTTTCAATTGTGTATGTGAGAAGAGTGTGAGTGGAAGTTTGGAAACAAAATGAAAAAATGCTGGGCATTGTCTGTAAGACACGATATCGGTTGGGTGAAGAAAATGTTCATTCTGGATGTTGCCCGAAAAACGCTTCTTTCCGAATAACAAACGGTTTTTCTATGCATATAGACATGCGTCCGCAGTTCCAAATTGGAATTCGGAATCGTCGTAGGTTTGTTCAACTTTTCGATTTGTTCATTTTTTTCCGAAATCTAATTTTTGGAACATTGTAAATAAGTTCATCGTGTAATGAAATATTCTAATATACTTTCCGGCGATTTACCCTTTACGAAATGCATGAATTGCCTTCGATTTCAGCCCTCTTCTCGTGAATCGCCGCTTATCGTCCAATACAATCTAAGCTTTGACTTCGTCTACTTTTGTCTCATTATATTATACATTTGTTTACATTTCGATGCGTAACCCATGATAACTGTCATAAGTGACTTCTCTGCGCTCTCCCTGCAATGGCATATAACATCGAGGGAAAAAAGAAAAAGAAGAAGAAAAAACACAACATTTTTCGCTGGTCTCAAGCCATTTTTATATAATTTCATTTGAATTTATTTTGTTGTTATGAGATATCTCTAACTTTTTCCTAGGGGAATTTATCATTCGAAAATTCATATATTCCGGTGTGTTTTGAGCCATATTCAGAATATTCACTCATATTCACAGATATTCAGTCTTTCTTATTTGACAGTTCTAGCGTTCTCATCAGCCGTCATCTTGAATTCGTCGCCATCTTGAAAATTTTTATTCAAAATATTCACAAAATTCACAACATTCACATAAAATCGAAATTTTGACGATGAATGAGAAAAATATCCACAATATACACAAATATTCACATTTTTCAAGCCTTGAATGAAACCCCTAGACTTTTTCTCTGAAAAAAGTAACTTAATTCCAAATGCGTTGTTTTAAATCCCAGTTACTGCTTTAATCCATTTGCGTTGGAATGGTAGAGAAGCTACTAATTACCAAGTAAAATACAATTCAAGAAAATGCAATAGTTTGGCTCAATCATAATCCTTCAATGGAAACATGGCTAAAACTTGAGTTGATTGAAATTTGTTTTGATTTTCTTTTTCGTGCTGCTTCTTCATTCAGATGAGCCACGGCGGTGGAGCTGGTTTTGCATCAAAATCCGCTTTCGCGAAGAACATGTCCAATCGATTGTTTCGCATTTTTCCTCTTGCTGCACCGCATAACGGGTCATCATCTTCGTTGGTACTTTCATCAGCCAGAAGCAGTGTAGTTTTTCGGTATGATAGCCGATCTGTTGGGACCAATTTGAAAACCTTGCCTTCTGATTCACCAGGTCCACTTGTATTTGGCTCATTACTGTTATTGTTGTTAACATTGGTTTTCGAAGTAGATGGATTCTCAACGTCCATGTTAGCTTCATTTGTGGTTTCTGCGTTGTTTCTGGAACTTTCAGTGTGAACAGTAATTAATGGAGTCGATTTCCCACTGCAGTCGTTACCTAATCAAGGGTAAAATCACAAAAGCAAAAATAAAAAATATTGAGAAATAACGAAAAGCAATGACAAAGTAATGAAAAACTAATGGTGATGCAGTCATTACATATGAAGTCGTTGTTCGTATCAGTCGGACGACAGCCATTGTGAATACCCTTTTCTCCACAGTAACGGCACTTGTGCAAACGCCATTCGCCACGTGCACTATGTTTTCGTCCATTTGGGCAGAGACAATTTCTGGCGTCGCATTGGTTGTGAACATACAATAATGAATGGTATGCATCTTGCGATAGTTCCCAATCTGAAAAAAAAATATCAAAAACATTGGTATCGAATAATTTTTTAATGTAATGTCAGTCCAAATTAAAATCAATTTTCCTAACCTGCATCCTTATCCGGGCAGAAAATGCCACGTTGTGCGAGAAACTGTCTGTACTCGTTGTTATCAGTATCGAAGCCGTTTCCACAACATGGACATTTTGTCAAATAGCCAGCTGCTCTTGCATGCTTCTGTATACATGTTCGGTGGAAAAAGCCTTGATTGCAGCACGATGGAATGCTTGTAATCGGATTGTATGGACCCATGGGTTCCTTGCAAATTTGACATGACCAATAATCACCATGGATTGTATTTTTCTCTTTGATATCAACATGACAATGACAATACGAATCACCTCCAAATTGGAACAAACAATTGTTCTCTGTTCCACACTTTACATGGAAATAACGTGGACATTTTTTATTCTTGCATCTGACTGTTGCACACTTCTTTTTGCAATAATAGCATTTGGTTTTTTTATGTAATTTCACGAAGTCTCGAATGTCAGTAACCAAGAATCCATCGATACCTTCATTGTCTTCGCCTAAAGAATAACAAATTCATACAAATCCATTACAATTTTACCACAAAATCAATTGCGTATCAAATATACGTTTAGAATAGTTAACCTCAAAACTGTACCTCGTTGTACTGCATTCGGTGATAACAACTGAAAATTTTCGACAAAATATGTCATTATTCCAGATATGATTTTCAATGGATAAAAAACTTTAAATACCGCACAAAACAGATGAATAGTACAGTCTTCTGATGTCTTCCATTCACCTAAGTCCAAATCATTTCTATCGCTAAATTTACAAATCTCGCACACTTTTTGCGATGTCGCCATTTCGTTTTGCTCCAATCTGCATCCAGTTCTTGAGTTTACAATCTAACGGTTCCATTCGATCATCATGTTTGTTGTTGATTTGGCTGACTGTGTGTATCTTGTGTTCTGTTCAAACGACTGATGTGTTTGACAGTTGACAGCTGGAATTTCGTCGTTGCGAAAATGAAACAGTGGAAATATTGTTAAATCGTATATATGTGTGTTTATTCAGTGTGCAGCAAATGAGATGCTTCAGCTGTACAATAGAGCTGTTGCCTTTGCATATTCATCAATTGCGTTTAGACCATTCCATTCAAACGATTTGATATTTTTATTATTTTTATCAATACAATGAATGCATTTAAAGATTTTTCGTTATATTTCCAGATTTATAAATCCACAAAATTTACCTAGCCATTTTTGATGCAAAATCGACAATTCGAATTATAATTTATTTTTTTAATAGTAGAAAAGTCTTATTTTTCATTACTGATTTAGAGTTTGTTGGCTATTATATCTAACGAATTGTCAATACCAAAACTAGTTAAATTATTCACTTTAAATTCGGATTCATGCTTTCAGTTTATTAACTATTTTCTTTGTTGTATTCAATTTTACCGTGAAATGATGGTTTTTTTTTTATTGTAGTGCAGAAAACAAGCTAAAAAATACAAACAACATGAAAATAAATGTGTCATAAGCAAGTGTCAAAACAATGGTTGCCGCCATAATTGAAGTCAACCAAGGTGGTCTATTGTTGAAGTTTGCCACATAGAGTCACCACTTATCACATGTCGTATAAATTACTCTCTGTCAGATGCATTGTTAGAGGAGTTGTTTATGTTTGTAAACAAAACTTTTAGTTTTTTCCTTTATATTCCATGTGTATTGATTCACAATTGACAATTGTTTGTTTTTACTGTGTACTCGTGATCAATTCTTTGATATTTTTATTTTTGATTCAGTTTGGTAAAACTAATATGGAAATTTTATTTCGCTAATGTATTAAGTAAATAACGAAATAATTATAAGCACTCCATTTGATAAGCAAATAAATCGAGATTAAATTCAGAAAAAAAAAACTGCTTGTTTTGTTCATTGTTTGCGACTATTATAAGGAAATGCTTCTTGGCTCAATTTTAGAGCCTATTTTGATTTTTGTATTGATTCCACTAACAGTGATGATAATTGCTCCTTCAGAAAATGGTAAAAATAGCAACTCATGCATGAACTCACATATATACGCAAACGAAAAATGCTTGAGAAGTACAAACAGCCGTAATTCAAATAGTTACAGAAAAGGGAAATGAAATTAAAAAGTACAATGAACCTGATGTCAAAACGGGGCAGATAAGGCACTTGACACTGTTCAGTGTTCACACTGTGAATAGAAACCCAATAACACACACCACATTGCGTTTGTGATTTTGGCATAGCCGCACTACCCAATCTAGCATGTGTGCGCACAAAACAGTAGGGCAGCTCAGAACAAAATTCAGTTCACTTCAATTGGTGTTCGTCCAAGAGATATATGTATATTTTTAAAAATTCTTCTTTACTTCACATTTTTTTTAATCGCCAAAAACATTTGTTTTTTTTTGTAATTTTTTTTTGAACGACTGAAGATTTTAACTGGAATAAATTTTTTTTCGTTAATATTTGTTTGATATTTATCAGTTATTGAAAATCTGAAAAATTAAAATAATAAAAAATTAATAAAAAAAGTTGAATTTTTTTAAAAAATGAATTCAAAAAAATGGAATGCGTTTTAATTGCGTGTGAGCGATTGAGTCAGTGGAAAGAAAATGAAAGAATTCTGTGCATTGTCTGTAAGACACGGTATCGGTTGGATGCATTGTCGCATCTTGTGACCAAGAAAATTTTCATTCTGGATGTTGGCCAAAAACGCTTTTATCCGAATAACAAACGGTTTTTCTATGCATATAGACATGCATACGCAGTTCCAAATTGGAATTTTCATTGGTATGGCTGCATACCAATAACGAAAAACAACAATAAAAACATACGCCTCGCAGAATGCTCACCATCGATTCCAAATTTTCGTGCAAAAAATTCTAATTTTAATGCAGACGAAGCCATAGATTCATCCGAATTAGATGTACGAATGGCAATGTGTAAACAGTGTCCATCCAGTTGTCATGGTCCATATCGAAGCAATAGCCATTATAAAATTTGTTGGATCGGCGCTTCTATCTGATATTCTCGGTATTATATTGTTAATGGCTCTCATTTTAGGTGAGTGATTTAGTTAAATTTTGCGTCGCATCGAGATAAACATTTCTTTTTTTCGTTTTGTCTGTTTTAAATCCTTCTCCACATACATCCCAAACGTACGTATACACACAGATCCATATGGTACGCCACAAGGATTGGATTACTGCTTGTTTTCGTTGATTTTATCTGATCTTTTGGAAAATGTCGTTTTGGGCTCACTGTCGATCTGTTCGTCTCTGTTCGAGATTTAGATGTTCGGTGATAATGCGTGTAAATTATTTGCATGTGCGTCGTATGCACTTTGGCTGGTTAACATAATGTCGTTATTTTGGCTGTCCGTTGACCGATATTTATTCATCACCGACATCAAATACAGTACCTATAAAATGCGGACCAAAGCAAGGTTTGTAGCAATGGCAATATAAAAGCCCACTGTCTTTCTCCGTAGATTAGTGTTTTGTGTTTGTATAATTCACCAATTCTGTGTGTAAGGTTCATCTGTAAAATCATTTTGTCGTGGTTTGTGTCGGTCGTTTATAGCTTTTGAACCGATTGTTCCGCTCGCAACACCGGTCGATATTTGAAGCAATCGTTCGTTTGCATTTTGCATATATGGCATTTGGAATCGTACTACACAACCGTGACCATTATCATCATATTGGAATGCTTTGTCGGTATGAATTTCAATTTTGCGCGAATATTTTTCATGCGTTTCAAAAACTTGACACAATCACATTATCAGACGAAATTTAGTGAGACTGATGTTGAATCGCTAATGGATTCAAATCATAAAATGTCAGCGCTGTTGGCGTTTATATTTTGGGCATCATGGTTACGTTATATAACGTATCATTTCGCATGGGATTCCAATCATGATGAATCGAGCCTATTAGAGTACTGGACTGGGAATGCGGTGCGTTATTGAGATTACCGATTTTAACGATATGCTTCTCTCGATATCGAAATTATTTGCGCTCATTTTTTGAATCAGTTAAAAGTCACTCGACATCGCTCCATTTTCTACGATTCGAGCAACAACCGACGTCAGCCGATATATCATCACATCCACTGCTGGTCGACAGCTTCAGTCTGCATATTTAAAAGTGTTGACTTTCAAATTTATTTAAAATAGATCAATTTTGCTACATTTATTTGTTGGATAATCCGTTTGGAGTCAGCTTTCAGCATCAGGGCTCCAGGGTGCTTCCGTTACTTGGGCAAACTGTTCGAGTCAGCTGTGACAATACAGTGAGCGTCAAAAGTTTTGGCACAGTTAGTTTTTTCAGTTATTATATATATTTATTGTTGTTTTAACAAAATTTCTTTTATGGTTTTATGAAACAAGTAGAAATATATAAATTCATAATCTTTTTTTCGAATTTAATTTACCGTTACTGTAGATAAATGACAAAAATCAAAAAACAAAAATCACGCGTCAAAAGTTATGGCACACTTTAGGAAAATTGGTCAAAATATTGAATATCTCATAATTAATTGTCGCTCAACAAAATCCGTCGCACAGAAAGCAGTGGTGTAGCCGTGCTGTTTGCACATCGAACTTTTTCGCATACACATCGTCCGTTCATCGTGTTTCTTATGTGCCGAACGCTCTCTAGTAATTCATTCCATCACTGTAGCCATGCTTCGTACGGAACTCGGCTTTGAGCGTTCGGCGCATACATACACGCATACACGCGTGTGTCTGTGTGCTGATTTCGTTTGTATGAAACACGATGAATGACGATGTGTATGCGAAAAAGTCCGATGTGAAAACAACACGGCTGCACCACTGCTTTCTGTGCGACGGATTTTGTTGAGCGGTATTTGGCTTTTAAATGAAGATGGTGACCTAAATCAAAGATTCCGGTACTTTGCTTTGCATTTTAATGATAGCCTTAAGTCATAAAGCTGGCCGGCATATGGCCAAAATGTGGTTTTTTGTGTTTTTGACCACCCTGTATTTTTAAGGCCGGCCATCTGATTAAAATAAAACATATACAATTGGAAACGTCTTTGAAAGTAGATGCATTTAGTGCTAAAGCACAATCAAATCGGCGGCCATTTGGTCAAATAACGGTCATGTGAAACCATTGGCCAACAATCAAAAAACATATGGAAGTGGCCAAAATTTTGTCAAATTTAGATCTTCTTGGAATTTTTTTTCTATAAACATTGCCTACTTATTAAGACCTTTACAACGATATGCAAAGTATTCGCTTCAGGTGGCCATTTCAAAATGGCCAAAATTTTTGGCTCCATTTACATGAGGCCGTAATTCGGCCAAATGGCCGCTGATAATAAAAGCCTTAGCTTTAAATGTATTTACGTTCAAAGACGTTTCCAACTGTATATATTTCATTTTAATCAGATGGCCTTAAAAATACAGGGTGGTCAAAAACACAAAAAACCACATTTTGGTCATATGCCGGCCAGCTTCATGACTTAAGGTCATCATTAAAATGCAAAACAAAGTACCAGGACCTTTGATTTGAGTCACCATTTTCATTTAAATGCCAAATACCGACAATTAATTGTGAGATATTCAAGATTTTGACCAAACTTTTGACGCCATAACTTTTGACGCGTGATTTTTGATTTTTGTCATTTATCTACAGTAACGGTAAATTAAATTCGAAAAAAAGATTATGAATTTATAGATTTTTTCTCGTTTCATAAAACCATAAAAGAAATTTCGTTAAAACAACAATAAATATATATAAAAACTGAAAAAAACTAACTGTGCCAAAACTTTTGACGCTCACTGTATAATTACAAACCTAGCAAAAAAAAATGTAACATTTTATCCAAATAAAATAAAAGCGGCTTAGAAGCTAGGACATTCATGCACATCAGACATTTGGAATAATAAACTGATTTATTTATGTTTCTTTAACCCGTGTCAAGGCAAGGTAAAACAGTAACACTAAATCTTGTATATCCATGAGATAGAAAGTCGAAAATGTTTCAATTGCTAGCAAATAGTGATATCAGATCAAATCGACTTAAATGCTCATTTGACGGGATTTTCTGATTTTTTTTTCAAAATTCCAACGACCAACAAAATATCAACGGAATTGTAAATATATTAACGTCTTAACGAAACAAATCGAACAATTTATTTATACTGATGCGCGTTGTTTATGTTTTTAAACAGAACTATTAGTTTTTTTCGTTTATATTTAATGTGTACTACCGGTATACCTGGTACATATTATTTTTCGTTAAAACATGGAAGGCAATAAGAATAAGCAATTCATAACAATTCATTGAATGGATTTTTATAATTCAACATTCAGCCGTTACTTATCGCGCATGTCATTTACAACCGAACAGACGAATTTTGACAATTGTTTGTTTCCACTGTATATTTGTGGTCATTTTGTTGTTTTCAACAAACGTAATTGTACACAATTTGTTGGAAATTTTAGAACGAAAAATGCTTACCACGAAATACAAAACATAAAAGATAAAAAAACTCCCACACTCTTCTTCACACCATTATTTCATAGCTCGTTCTAGAAAAAACTAGCGCGCCTGGTCCGAAAGACCCACCTTCTGCAGAGGATCCTGCTTCGATTGGTTGAATATAAGTGGATAGTGTATTATATGCAATTGCCGCAATAAAGAAATACCAGAAATAATGAACGAATCTCAGTTTGTCAATCCGTTGAAGTTGAGCATTTAAAATCTTGTATGTTGACCTTTGAGTTCATTTCACCACATCAAATCATGATGCTATTATCTTTTTTACTGATTTTCCTAATTGATTGGTTAATGACATGACCATTAATTAACTAATAGTTTGAGATTTAATTTGACCGCAACTTTGGAGCATTAATTTGTATTTAATTATAGCAAGGTATTGCAAGCGATGCTTAGGATAGAATTTTCGTATCTTCAAATGAAACAAACTAAAATTTCCCGAAAATACCAAAGAATTTCCTATCAGTGTGAGAAAAAAAAGATTCCACGTTATTTGTTACCGCTGTTATTCATTTATTTTTTGTTCTAAAAAATACATCTGTTTACGCAGAGAAAAAAAATAGCCTTTGTATCAAAAATGTAAATTGTTTGGACGGAATGTTCTGTTCATTCTTTGTTTCATTTCTTAAACATGTAAATGGTTCAAAAGTGCTTGACTTAATTTCGTCTACCAAAAGGAGAAAAAAAAAGTAAGATTCCGATTCCAGTCAAGTGGTATGGATCGAGTTTCGTACGGTTTAACTGTTTGTCAAAAAGTATCTAAAAATTTCTAGTCATTAGTTTCTAAGTCCTAATTAGCTGACAAAGTTCGTTGTGCTACAAAATACAAAACAAAATTAATGGCTTTTCATTTAAAACATTGGGACGGTAATACGTAAATGTATGAGAGGAATTTGGAATGTGGTGGTTGATAAGAGGAGGATGGGGTGAGACGGTGGCAGCGATGGTATCAACATCCAAACGATGGAAATACATTGGAATGTCCATGGGAATTAAGCGTAGCTGATTCCTTGGTCATACGCTTTATCCTCTTCCCATTCGCGTTCATCGGGCATTGCATGATGTCTAAGGCCGCAAATTCGCGGTCCCCATTTCAGTTGAACAATAATTACGCCAATGATGAAGGCTAGCAAAAATGCCACGGCAGGAAAAATGATAACATAAATCATTTTTTCGACAAAGTGTGAGATCCGTCTCTCTCTTCGACTGGACGAATTGGAAGAAGGGATGGTAACGATAATACGGAGAAGAAAAACAAAGCAGCCCGACCAAATCTAGTGACGTGTACAGTGGATTGGTGTGGCTTTAATTAAATATCGCTCTCACGCTTCTGTTGGTGCTGTAGCTCAACGTATTCCTCAGCCGGTTGTGATTGATTGTATGCGCGGCCGTAACCTCTTTGTTCTTCTTGTGGACGATGATAAGAAACCTCTGGGTGTTCAACGTCAGCCTAAATAATAATCATCATAATTTCAATAACACGGTTGACACGAAAAAAAAGAAGGCAACAACGACCACCGCATTCTCTTTTGCGTTGCTGTTTTTTTTTTTTGCTATTCTCGCAATACTTACACTCTTTGGATAAAATGAGCTCACGTCTTCCAATTCAGTTAAATCGAGAGGAGGGTTTTGATGCGGTGTAGCCGTCCAAAGTGATACAATCCAACGGTTGCCTATCAAATGTGTCAAAAATGATTAAATCGAATGGAATCAAACCACTTGCAATCGATAGATATAATAGAGCAATGATTAATTTACCGGTGTGTCGATCTTGCCAATACTGACGATGTTTTGAGCAGCAGCCGAGCACGATGTTGATTATGAATATAATCGCCAATAGTACCGAACAGACGGCGATTGTCTTGTAGAATGGTGAAAAATCTCCGTACAATGGCTTCGTGAAAAATGGATTCCTTAAATATTCGCTTCGTTCTTCAATAGTAGTCATGTTCTGATTTCGCGCTCTAACTACGCATTTGGCTGCTGACGAACAAAAATAAAAGAAAACCAATCAAAATAAAACACCCATCAAATGCAATCTCTTCGAAATGTGGCTTATGTCTTTGGTATGGAAATAAGAAGTACATTTTATTTACACCGAGATGTGTTTATATACGCACACGCTCACACACACACAAATGATCATCGCTTTGGCTAATTGATTAGCTAATTGTTTACTCAAATGATTCATCCATCAATAGCGATTTAAAATGTCGTTCAACTTTTCATTCGGATCATTTGTTTTTCGTTAAATGATGGTGTGTTTATTTTCTTTCGGTACACGCATGTAATTAATTGCTGGTGCAGAAGAACGCCCATTTCGATGCGTCAAGCATTCGGGGCCGTGAGCAAAATGGTTTGATCGAATTACCATAATTTCGAAATAATAATCAACAACCAAATTACATGTGTGTTTTTGATGAAAACAATATTGGCCATTCGAATAATTTGCTGCAAAAAAACGACGAATCGCTAGTCAATTTTTAAAATTAATCGGCCAAACAATTTTTTGGGTGTGGTGACAGAATGTGTGTGAGCGCGCGTTGTTGTGGCTTTCAATCATTCTGTGTCATCGCACTTGCAACAACCAGCAATTTGTATTTTTTTTTACTAATTAAAAAACCAATTTATTACCAAAAAACCAAATAAAACTTACAAATTTTCCACTAAAAGGAAAAGCCGAACGAGATAAAAAAGCAAACAAAACAACACAGATAACCAAATCAGAGAAAAAAAAGAAATTTAATTTCAATTTAACGATGTGAACGTTTCAAAAACATACACACACCGTCTATTTCGACGTATTATTGTGAATATATAAAATGTTGTGTTGAGTGTACTGTGCAAATGCTTTGGTCGCGTAGCAAACTTACGGAATGGAACACACATATATACGATCGAATACACGGACAACAAAAAAAAAGAGACGAAGTAATATTACGACCACAAAAAGAAATGACGCACACCAGAAAGAAAAGAAGACATAAAAACAACAACAACACACATGGCACACGGCACCAACGCATATGAAAAATAAATTATTTCATGAAAATGTTGCTGTTGTTTGTGTGCTGCTAATAAATATTTGTTTAGTTTTGTGTCCGATGTGTGTGTGTGTGTGTGCGATTTGAGTGCTGAGTATTGGTGCGTTTTGTTCGGTTGTCATATGAATATATGCGATTATGCGATTCAATTAATGAAGTCGCCGCCGCAATGAAACATGTACTGTACACTGTATGTGTCAGACAATAAAATTCAAATGACTTCAAAACAACCATTTAATATTCGATGTGTAATGAGATACAGAGACAGATCTATATAGATACATATATATGATATGCGTGTATAGGTGTGTGTGTGTATGTGTGTCTGGGTCTGGGTGGCTAGTTAGCAAAACGTTTACTTTAAGAGAACTAATACATTGTCATCAGGCGAACTAAGTTAACACAAAAACATCATCATTGCCTGTATTATGTTGTGAGGTACATTCGGTCCGAATGTTGTTAAAACACGGTACTCGTTCACTCACTCGCTTGTTCTTGCTCGCTCGCTTGCTCGCTCATTTGTTCGTTTGCTTCAGGCAATACGATCAAACAAACGGTGAGGTGAGACGAAGAAGAAACAGGTTAATGTATTTCATTCATCATACACAATGACACACTCTTACCTTGCCACACTACCTGTTTCTCTTCGAAGCGAATGAAAACACTTCAAATGTGCAACACCGACTATCGATGGCTACACCACACACTAATTGCTGCAATGTTTTCATTTCTGTACAACAACGATGGAATGAGAAGAGAAAAAAAAACCGCATCAGGATAATGACTTTATTTTAGCAGCTTGCAGCTTACAAACTTGCAATGTTAAGTGTGCTTCCAAACAGACCTCAACTCGTGATCTTGGATTTTGTGCTCTTTTCGTTTGGTTGCGTCGTTGTTGTTGTTTCGTGTTTCGTTTCTTCTCTGCTCTTTCTCTTAGCATATTTTGTCATTGAAACCATCATTCAATTCAATGAGTGAAGCGATGAGAAAAAATGAGAAAAAAAAAATACACAATTTATAAGGTTTTATTGGGAATAAAACTGCTCGAGCTCAAACGCATTCGATCAAATGAGCTATAGAGCATTGATGGACAAATGGATGGAAAACTGATGCTGTTATTCTAATCTTTCAAAATGCTTTTCCACGAATGGCATTCAGCGAGCACATTGCACTCTCTCCCTCCCTCTCTCTCTCTTTATTTTATTTCATTCTCTTCTCTTTTCTTTTCTTTTATCAAATATTATGATCGCCATTGATATCATTTCCGAAACCAAAAGACGGATCCTTATAATTTATACTCTATTAAAGTTTTACGGTTTAAGTCGATAAGCTCTCTTGAAAAAACTATATTTCGACATATTCGGCAACGTTTTGTTCCCGCAAATAGCTAACAGTGATGTGATATATAGATTACAGCTAAAGTTCTCTTGCTCGCTCACTCTCTCTCTCTCTCTCTCTCTCTCTCTGCCTTTGTGAATGTGCATGTGTGTGTGTCGTGTGTCATTTGATTGCTTAAGCGCATTTTGAGCGCAACGAAATCATGTGTGATGCGATATATGAAATGGCAAATGGGAAAGGTTTTCGATTTCAGAGTCGTGTTTGTTACGTGCACCCATGAGAATTTCCAAATTCAATGGAAAATTGACAAATTCCTAATGAAAGTCCCACTATGCTGAGGCTCAAATAAATACAAAATGAAAAACCATCGAATTAAATATACGGAATAACAAATAAATTGGACATACAATATACATACATACCATATAGATTTGCATTTGGCACCGATTCCTCAGAGGATTATTGGCGAATAGGTAAATTATTCGAACGTTTAATGTGACGTTACAGATCTCTTACTTACAACATTTATTATGCATATATTTTACATGTATAAATGCATGTGCACATGCATATAATGCAATCAAATATGATTGCGTTCGGGGCAGATGATGTACCGATCCATAAAATTGTGGCAATTTAGCAATGGCATATCACATATGTAACAACAACAAAATATTCTCCCGCAACACACACACACACTCTCTATCTCTATCTCCCACCGTACCTCTATGCATCTCTCTCTCTCTCTCTCTCTCTCCCTCTCTCTCAATTCATTGCCCTGTGCTTCCACTGGCAAATTGGTAAATGAAACCGAAATCACTTTGCAATCATTCAAATCAAAAATCACGAGAGAGTGAAGCAGAAAAATACACTCTCTGATTTAAATATGAGTGTCAGTTTTCTATATGTGATGCATTTTTCTTGTGGATATATTTTGTGGCCACCACCATTCCTCAGCGAACTTTATGGATGTCATGGTGGTTGGTTGCATCCGCTCCTCTTTCTCTCCTCCCACACTCTCCCTCGATTTGATTCACCTTATGCTTGCTATGTGTGGCGCGCACAAAAACGTAAATCTACTTCAATATAACACGAAAATACACAGCGCTGAAATATATCGAAGGTTTATGGCTGCGGGTTAAATTACAACCGTAACCATCACCGGCCATTCCCATTTTCCACTTTTCCGTTTTTCGAAACGCTGCTAATGACTAACTAATTTCAATTAGTGCATTTATGAGTGTGACTATAAATGGATTAAAAGCGTTTTTCCCATTTAGATTTATGAGTCGATGTGCCTTCATCTTCATCGCAACGCGCTGTTCTTTCCATTTTCACACCATGGCTTATGAATGGATATCCATGCACGTCGTTGTCGTCGTTGTAGTCATCGTTTGACTTATTATTGCTTATGGCGCGGTTATTGCATGCTGTGTGCTGTTGATGCTACTGCTGTTGCTGCAGTTGTCGCGTACCAAAACCTGATGCAAGAACCATCGAGATTTTCACGGAACGCGGATTTTTGTATCGAATGTCAATAAAATCAATGAACAATGTACTCGGCTGTAAATTGGTTTTCATTTCAATTTGCGTACTTCCACTTCCGTGGAAAAATCCACTTAGATTTTATTTTAATAAGCAACGCACTTAACGCTTCAAGCGAACAGATGAAATTGCGAAGTGAAAAAAACAACAGCAGCAAGAAGAAGGGAAAAATCACGAAACGCCACGTGATATCGATTCTCACTCAAACTAACCCTTTTACTTCCGTCTGTATTTCAACTTGAATGCCCGCCGTTTCCTTCATTTCATTAATTTGCCGAGAAAGATTTTAGTGCTAAATTATTTTCACGCTTGTTATGAGCAGCTAGCTTCAAATTTATTAACGTTACGCTTGTACTAAGTAAACATAAAGTTGTGCATACGAATTGGTTCGCAATTCTATGGCATTAGCACTTGGGCAACGACTTAAGCTTGAAATATCTTTATTGTATTTGATTCATCCCAAGTGTAATGTTGTACTATTTTGATTGTGGTGTTTGAAATATAAACACGATTTTGCAAGGCAGATGAAAATGAGATGAGATAAGATGATATGATATGGTGTGAGAGTGTGCGGGCGAAAAAAAAGGATGTCTTATTTCCATCTCTCTATCTCTCGCTCTCGCTCACTCAAACAACGATTTCAATGCTGTGTGTGCACACAGGAAAATCATAATAATCCAATGGATTCAAACACATGGAATTACACGGAAGACGGAAACTCATTGAAATCCTGAAGTTTAAGCCAACATGAAAACCTCAAAACACGTGCAATTCCTTGCTTTCAATCAAATACACCGACAATATTAGCAAAGTGGTTTTGTGTCGAGTGAAAGCAAGAACGATGGAAAGAACGAATGGTCATCGGGAAAGCGTAAAAAGGATTGCGTAGAATTCCACCTGTGAAGCCAAGTTACAAAAATAATATTTTCACTATGTAACAATGGGACGAGTATACTCGTACCGAGTACTATAGTACTCGGAAATAGAGAGAAAAATAAAATGCGAATGGTTTGCGGGTGTGCTCGGCTTTCGTTTGATTTTCTGTATATATAATAATAGCACAATGCATTGAAAGAGTGAGAAAGTGTGTGTGTGTGTGTGAGAGAGAGAGAGAGAGAGAGAGAGAGTGAGAGAAGAAGAAGAGGAAGAGAGCCAGTGTTCACAAAATGTGACCATACACAAAGTGGTGAAAAACGGGAGAGAAGAGAATAAAAAAAGATGTTGTGAAGCACTAGTATGGACGAAGCGCAAAATGAAATGCTTAACTAGATAGATTAAACTTGTGTGTTGCACATGGTACTCCGCAACGAGAGCACACCGAACCGCATACTGTCCGTCATGAGTTCATATTTCATAATCTCCGATATACTTATGATATTGTTCAAGATGGGAATGTGGTCGATTAGATAGATTATGGCGAGGGAATCCGTTAGGCGAACGAGATCCGAGATGAAAGTCAACATACTCACCTGTATATCCAATATGCATGGTGTTCGCCCCCAAAGGGAAAATTCATCGCATATAAGGTCATTATTATCTCGGACATTTCACGCGCTCACATCTATCTCTCTCTCTCTCTCTCTTTCTCTCTCTCCCATTTGTTACTTTATTTATTATCAAAAGTGTGCTCTTTTATTTATTTATTTGTTTTTTTCTTCTTCTCTTTCTTCTTCGGCTTCATTCCATTCTTCGATGGTACGTGATCGAATGGGGAAATCGTCAAAATGATTAACCATACCGTATTTTTTTCGGGGTTTCACTTTTCAAATTGACCGTATTTGCTCTATTGATTTGGCTTAAACAATCGTTGATTGATAGCAGAATGCAGCCAATAAGACCAACATTATGTGGGAACATTCCATCGGAGCTAAGTCATTTGATTTGGGGCGAGGATTTTACGATGCTATGGTGCTTTTCGCAACACACAACTGTGGAACAATGAAATGTGGTGAAAGTATGCGGTCTGTTTACATTGCGTCACGGCTATTTAGCCAACCGTTTAGGTGAGGAAATCCAAGGAATTCCAAAAGCGACAACACACACACACACACACACACACATACACAACTTTAACTTAAAGAACATAAAAATGTGTTTTGTGGCATTGCCGGTTAACGTTTTGGGGTGGGAACAGGGTGGTTGCGAATGTCTGCGTTTACAACCGGAAATATGACATAAAATAGTGAAGTTTTCGCCATACGCTATTAGGTTTTGCAATGAATGTGTCCTTCGCCAGTTCCACGGGCCACTTCCACGGGATTGATCTTTCGAAATTGGAAAGTTTCAGTCGTTAAATCAGCACCATTCGAATGTGGTGTATAATGCATCCGTAGGGAAGAATAGCTTAAAACTGCCCAACTTAATTACGGTTTAGTACCTCCGATATGTGCTCCAACATATCCTGCAATATACTTACTTTAGGTGTTGCAACTGGCTGACTGGCACACACACACACAACAGTTTCCGTTGTCATTTATTTCATTTTGCATTAATATTTATAGACTGTTCACACTCTGGCCATATTTTTTAAAAGTTCCTTGTATCACATCACATACCCAAACCCAACCAAAATGCATTGTGAGTGCTGTGTTGAAATCAAGTTTGAGGCAACAAAAATTAATCATGCAATCAAATGGGGTTCGGTTTGGTTATGCTTTCAGTGTCCCCCGGATGGCTGTTAGTTTCACACAGGACAATCACAATGCGAATATATGAACGTTCATCTCCTCGGCTTATCCAGCTCTTGAGCTTTGAGATTGTGTTCCACGCTTTTATGCGATCCAAGTTCATCAATCGTTTTTCCAAAAACGATTGAGGGCGAGAGAGAGAGAGAGAGAGAGAGAGAGAGAGAGAGAGAGAGAGAGAG